AAATGCAGCCTTTGTTAGTGGGAAACAAGTTAAATCCCAACATAATCTGACAGGCCCACTTCAACCACTAACTGCTACCACTCTCAGCAGCATCCTCTCGACTTGGGAATATGAAAATAAATTATAACATTGCTTCTCCATAGATACTGTTTTCTGCTTACAAAAGGTAGGGCTATTTTTCCTGTGTGGAACTAACACATACCTCTGTCTTCACACAAACTGGACTAGACTGCGTACATTGGTCTAGTTAGTCCCTGAAATAGAAGTTGCACTTAACAACTAATCTTTACCAGTTCCCCTATCTGCATATACCAGTTCCAAACGTGGCCTTACTGTGAGCCCCCTTCTTGTAACTTTAGGTGTAACAGCAGGAGTAAGCACAGGCATTGGGGGCCTAACCACCTCCCTGCCATATTACCAAAGTCTGTCTAAAGACCTAGCAGACAGCCTAAATGAGATTGCCCAGAGTATAATGATGGTGCAGGATCAAATAGACTCTAGCATCTGTTACATCACAGAACCGAAGGGGTTTAGACCTTCTAACAGCTGAAAAAGGAGGACTGTGTGTGTCTCTTCATGGAAAGGGAATGTTGTTTTTAAGCCAACCAGTCAGTAATAGTAAGGGACACAGGAAAGAAATTTCCTGATCGAGCCTCCAGAATCCAATAGGAACTATCCGAATCCTGGGGCTCATGGTTACAAAAATTAAATTGGACCACTTGGCTCTTCCCCTTATCAGGACCCTTAATAATAATCCTCCTTACCATTCATTTTGGCCCTTGGATACTTTAAACTCTTTCTTCCTTTTTACAGAACCGTATATAGACAATCACCAACAAATCCATGGTAGACATGATGCTCCTACATTCTACTGCTGGGTACCGGCCTTTGTCCCAGACTCCTCCCTAGTAGGTACTACTCTATGCCCACTGACAGCTTGAAGCAACTACAGAAGTCAAACCTTCACCCCTCAGCATCCCAAGGGGGGGAAAAAAAAGGAGGAGATAGACTGGAGGTTAGTGTGGCTGAGATTCCCCTTGGGGTAGCTGCCAAGTGGGAGGACCCAGTCATCTCTGCAACTCCCATGGGCTTGGGCTCCAGGAGAGAAATCAGATGTCCTTCTTTTGAAGCCTCCTAGAGTTCACCAACCACAGCCCATGCCACACAGTGGGCCCTGCATGGCAACAAGCACCCCTGTGGGCTTTGTGCCCCTTGGCTGTGCCTGGGATGCCCCAGCCCCAGTTCCCAAACAGGGATCCTGCCCCAACTGAGATGGCAGCCAGCGGGGGTTCCAACGGCAGCAACGTTGGCCATGGTGGGAAGGTGCAGTCTTCCTGGACTCTTTCCCATGTTCTCCATGCTGCACTATAAAAGCAACATCTGGTGCATGTGGTCTTCCCCGCACAGCCACAATTCAAAAAACAAAAACAAAAACACCCTGTCCACACACAGCCACAGCTCCCCCTGTGCACTTACTTCCCCCACAGAGTCTTCAGCAGCTGCTCTGGGGAGTGCAGCCGCGGGCCTGTGGAGCAGCTCTCCCTGCACCCTGCACCCTTCCCCTGCAGAATTTTTCTGCGGCTGCTCTGCAATATGGAGCAGCAAACACAGGGCCCCAGTTTTCCCTGTACTCTCCTCTCGAGTCTCCCCTGGTTCTTCCCTGGCTGTTCTGTCGAATGCAGCCTCACAGCCACAGGCACACTCTCCCTGCACTCTGATTGCGGCTCAAAAAAAAACCACAGAAGGCTGGAATAATAGATAAATCCTTCACTCTCTACCCAGCCTATATTTACTCGGCTTCTATTCTTCTCTCTCAGTTCTCTCCTTTTCTCCACCCGCTAGTTTCCGGTTGGACTCCTTGTCTCCCTTCCCACCTTCACGTTGTCGCCACTCCCACCCCCTAGTTTCCACTTGGACTCTTTGTCTCCATTCTGGCACCTGTCTTGTTCCCACCCTCCCTTGCATTTAGTTCCTCCTCTGCACTCAGGATTGGCTCTTCAGAAATAGGCAATCTACCGCCTGTATTAAAACACTACGTAAGCACTCTGCAGAGACAGGATCAGGGCTGATGCTACTTTAAGCTTCAGCCCATCTCCCGGACAGATGATTCAATAAAACGTTAAAAAAAATTTTTTTTACCCTGGTCCTGTTCCTCTCAGCATTGGCCACCTAACACATAACAAAAAAGTAAATAAACTAGATAAAATTGTGATTAATCCTGATAAAATAACAGTAAGCCTAGGATTCACTGGGGGTATTTTCTCTTCTTTCCATATGAGAACTGAAAAGAACAATGAGCAATGGGGCAAAACCAATCTTCACAAACAAAAATAAATATATTTCCACTTACATATCAATAATCATTAAGAAGAAAGAAGACAGACAGAATTAAAGGTGCCATATGGGATATCAGGGAAAGGAGAGCAATATAGAGTGACTGTCATTGTTGTTAGCTGCCACGGACTCACTCCCGCCTCATGGCGACCCGTGTGAGTCAGAATGGAACTATGCTCCAAAGAGTTTTCAAGGCTGTGATCTTTCAGAGGCACACGGCCAAACAGGTCTTCCTGGGTGTCTCAAGAGAGAGGGGAGGTTTGACCCTCCAAACTGTCAGTGAGCAGTTCAGCACTGAACCATTTGCACCACCCAGAGACGGCTAGTCATTCCCCATGATTGTATTTCCAATGACTGCCATTTCTCTTGGGATGTAAGGCACACTAGTCACAACGTGGCCTCTAGTTTCCTCAAAAATTAAAATCTGATTTTACCTGCTGTTCCACCCACGATACTTACATGACAACACAGACCACTGCCCTGCCCCTACCATTACATTCATTCCTCTCTTTATGGAATGTCCTTACAATCCCATGCTCAGTTGTTGTTAGGTGTCGTCAAGTTGCCTCTGACTCATAGTGACCTTGTGTACAACAGAACCAAACAATGC